TGGTGTGTATTGGCCACGCCCACAGGGTTTGAGCTGCTGTGTGGGGGCTGACTCCAAGGAGTGGGATTCGCCCCAGAAGTCTCGTGCACCTGTTGAGACCACCTTTTTGGTGTGCCCCTAATGGAGCTAGTCAGGTAGTGCTCTGTTGTGGTCTGTCCAGGTGTGTTGGTTCTGTGGCCTCTTGTGAGGGGCTCCCATGTAGGCCAAGGTCAGCCACTGCCTTTGACTGCTCAGGGCCTAAAGAATTTCTTTAAGATTTCCTGTAGAGTAATACTACTGGCTATGATTTTCATCATTATTTTTGTTTTTCTGAGAAAGTCTTTTTCTCTTAGCCATGTGGAGATATAATTTACATACTGTACAATTCACCCTTTTAAGTGTACACTTCAATGGTTTTTAGTGAATTTACAAAGTTGTGCAACCATCACCAAAATCCACTCTTTAGAATATTGCCATTACCCCAAAGATCCCTCATACTATAAATCAGTCACCTTCCCCAGGAAACCACTAATTTTCTTTCTATGCCTATAGAGTTTTCTTTTTTGTAATTTTATGTAAATTGGATCATATAGTATTGAGTCTTTTGCATCAGGCTTTTTTTACTTAGCATAATGAGATTCATTTATGTTGTAGCATGAATCAGTGTTTTGTTCCTTTGTATTGCTTGATAGTATTCCACTGTTTGAGATGTGCCCTATTTTGTTTGTTTATTAGTTGATGAACATTTGATTATTTTTTGGCTGTTGTGAATAATGCTTTTATGAACATTTGCTTTCGAGTCTTTGAGTGTACGTGTTTTCATTTTACTTCTTCCTTAGGAGTGAAATTGCTGGTTCATATGGTAAATTTATATTTCACATTAATTTTTGTCTTTCAGTAAATAAACTACTTTTAAAAGAGGTTTATTATTTAAGATACACTATTTACTTAATACTATTCATTCTCTATTTTGTTTAAGATGATGATTTTTTACAATGTGAAACTACTTCTGTGCCATCAAATTTATTATCTATAATC